TCCTGCTTCTTTGTTCCCCACAGGACGGAGGATATTGGTTCTCAGGTCACTCAGAGGGAACAAAAGGAGCCCCCTGGCCACTGCTGCCCATGCCCAAGGCCCATGCCCAGGCCTGCCGGCCCCCACTCCTCACTCAGCTACCTCCCGCTGGCCCGGAGTTAGTTTGAAGCCAGGAGACTGTGACCCAGAGAAAAGAAAACAGAGTTAAGGGGGCGACAGTGCCCCATTGCGTGGGGTTAATTCTGAGGAAGAAAACAGGCGTATGTTAGTGGGAGGAGGAGGCAGCCTGGGAGGGGCTGAAGGGGGTGCCAGGTGGAAGGTGTGGAGGCTGTCTTAGGACCCCCTGCTTATGGGGGTATCTGGGGGGGGGTGTCCCAAGCCTGGCAGCCTGGCCTCTAGCTCTGATGTGAGAACTGAGGCCCAGAGAGGCACGCTGATCTCCCATGGCTGCCCAGCAAGGCCAGGGCAGAGCTGGGCTCAGAATTTTGCCTGTGGCCCTCTACCCCATGTCGGGGATCTAGGGCTGCAGGGTGATTTCCACAAATGCAGACCATCATCTCACCTGGAGACCCAGGCCCAGACCCTCCAGTCCCGGCAGACTGTGTGGGCAAAGTGGGAGGGACCGATTCCCCTCACAGCTGCCCCAGAGACCAGACTGCGGGTGCCTCCTCCTCCAAATTCCCCAGGGGACTGGGAAGTGAGCAGAGAGCTTAGTGAGAAAAGGAGAGGCAGACAGACAGCCGAACAGAGCCAGTCAGCTCACATGGGCATCTCCCCTGCAGCCTGTGGAGAGGGGGTCCACCCGGCCCCCAGGCTGGCCACAGGCCACTCAGCAGGCTGGACCTTGAGATGAAGGAGAAAAGGACACATCATTGCCAGGAGATGAATGTGGGGAGGGAAGGAGGAGGGAGGGGCTCCAAGAGGGATGGCTGGAATCTTCCAGAGCTGAACTCCTTGCCTGCTGCTGTACCCAGACCCCAGAACCGGGCCCCCCCCTCCATGGCCCTCAGGACGCCTCCCTTCTGGAGGCCTCCCCGCAGTGAGCCTACACCTCTGGCTCTCGGGTCCCACCCCCTCCCCAGCACCTCAGTCCTAGCCTGAGCACCCTCTTCCCTCTCCCAACCCTCACCTTCTCTCCTTCGGCGCCCTCCCCTCCCCGCACCAGGTGCGGTTGGTCGAGGACCCCCAAGGTCCCCGCGGCCCGACCCCGGCCCCTCCGTACCTGGTGATGCGCCGCGGCTCCATGAAGCTGGGCGAGTCCCGGCGCCGCTTGCGGATGGGCGAGTAGCTGCGGGAGCGGCGCCGGGCGCGGGCGGCCTCGGCCTCGGCGTGCCTCGCGCGGCCCTCGCCGTCCTTGTCCCTGCGGGGCCCGGCCCGAGATGAGTGACGCGGCCCGGCAGCCCCGGCCGGTCCCGCCGCCACCCCTGGGCCCGCACTTACCGGCCCACGGTTTTCTTGGGCGACGGCGAGCGGCTGGGGCTGCGGGCCCTCTTCTCCGCGGAGCGCGAGCGGGATTTGGAGGGCGAGCGGCTGGAGCTCCACGAGCGAGGGTGCGGGCCCGGGCTGCGCGACGAGCTCTTCCCCTCCGGGCCGCCGTGCCTGCCGTGCGCGCCCGGGGACGGGGAGGTGCTGGCGGGCCTGGCGCGCGGGGGCCGCTCCTTGGCCCTGGAGGAAGGGCACGGCGACAGCGGGGGCTCAGCTGGGAGACAGTGGGCCCCGGGCAGGGGAGTAGCGGGCGGAGGGGGGCCCGGTGACAGGGAAGCGGGCTCACTTAGGGAGAGAGTGAGTGGAAGCCCTGGGGGGAAAAGGACTCAGGAGGGGAAGGGGTTCTGTGGGGTTAGTGCGGACGAGGAGGTGGTTGTGTTGGCGGTCGGGGAGAGCTTCCCGGAGGAGGGAAGGGGGCTCTGGTGGGGGGAGAGGATCTGGATCTTAGCGCGGGGGCGGGTGGACA